ACATTTGGGCGGCATTATGCTAATATTTCCACATAGTGAGGTAGATATGTGGGGGCGTGTTAGAATGAGCCATTTTAGGGGGGTGTGGCAGAGTCTTAACTTTGATAAAGAATATCTCTTTGGTTTTGAGACTTTAGTCTTTGCAACTTCAGGGATCTTATCTATGCACAATCAGCTTGTAACACTCCAAAGAGAAAGGAAAACTTGAAATCGCATCATATGACCCCTTTAATGTAACCTTCTCCCTTTAAACACTTCAGTCAGTTCAAGAATAATTTATGCAATTTTATATTATTTATTTGAAATAATTAAAAGAGCAGTTTCATGTCTATCCTTGTATTGTTCAACTGGTCGAGGTTTATATGAGATTTAAAAAGTAGTAATGATTAGTGATTAATCTAATTACACTGTAGATGATGTAATTAGTAGCTAGCTTTTTACAGTAACTTACCCAACACTGTATATAGTCCTCTAAATGATAAATTTAAAATATTAGTAAATACTATATGTAACACTGCATGACACATTCATTCTCATTTTCTAAACCTCATGATTTCTCTTTATTTTTCACACTCTGACAGTCTATTCATAAGCAATCTGGAATAAATGAATTGGCCATTATCACATCAATGGCAGATTGGTCCACTAAAAAAAAAAAAAAAAAACTCAAATTTCACACTCATACAAATGTTCTTTTTCTCTTTCTTAAGTGAAACCCTGAGGCCGTGGGTCAGTCTCACTCCAGCTGTCCTGACAGACCCAGACTCCTTCCACTCTCTCTTTCTCTCCGTTCCCATAATTCCTTTCACACTATCACAGGAGGAACCGCACATAGCAGAGGCATCATAAACCCCAGTCAGCCGCTGACCTCTGACAATTTATGCCCTTTTATTTAAGCTGGACGGAGAAGGGGGCTTGACTCTTTCCTCAGGTCTTAAACCTCAAACGTCCCACTGTTCTCACCTGATACACTTCCATAAAGCTGCAGATAAAACTGCCAGGGTGAAAAAAGACCATCTGGTTTTTATTTTTTATTTATGCAATTTTATATTATTTATTTGAAATAATTAAAAGAGCAGTTTCATGTCTATCCTTGTATTGTTCAACTGGTCGAGGTTTATATGAGATTTAAAAAGAAGTAACCTGATGCACTTCCATAAAGCTGCAGATAAAACTGCCAGGGTGAAAAAAGACCATCTGGTTTTTATTTTTTTAGCATGAGCTTCAGAACATCCAAATTAATTACAATAATTCATACCTAATACATTCTGCATTGTCATACAGAGTGATGATTTCTAAACCACAAAAAGGCCACACTTGCTTTTAATAGTGCAGCATCCTCAAACACCATGAAGTCAAAACACCATGTGCTGTCATTTATGGGGTCATTGAGTGCCAAAATCCTTTACTTTCCACTTTCCAAAAATACTGCACATTTTCCTCATATAAAAGCATGTGTTGTATCAATAATAAAGGCTTCTTTCCAAAATCAGGCAACTACTTTTTAAATCCCTATGAGTAACTGATTCGAAACACTCTACATAATTCTCAACAAAAACTCAACAATGCAAACTAAAGTGAGAGTCTTTGGTCTATAATGATTTCTCCAGTGAAAAAGTCATGTCGGCTGAATCAGGAGAGAAATATGCACAGATTAAGCACTGTTTACAAGTCAAAACAGTTGGTGGATTTTGATGTGATGGACAACAGGGGATGGATTTATTTTGCATGCGTAGTACGTGTTAGGTATGTAGACATGCGCAGTACATGTTGATTTTAAAGGCAAGCGCAAACAAACATACACAACAATGGCGGAGTACATGGTACTGTTGTTGCTGCTTGAAAGTTTGCTAACACTTCTTCAGCAAAGTGTGGATTTACTTCACCAATATTACAACCAACAGCGGAGACGCATCATAAACATCATATAATCGTCACTTCTCTACGGGTACTGTTTACTAACAAGGTGACAGCGCCAACTACTGGCCTGGCATACGTAATACAGCATTTATGGCCGTTTTGGGCGGATATGTGTAAACGTGAATCATTTTAAAAACACTGTCGTGTATACGTGAAACTTTTTAAAAATACAAGAGAAAAACTTTTCCGTTTTTGACTACACCGTTGTCGCGTAAACGTAGCCTCATTCTGACGCCACCCATTCACTGCAGAGGATCCATTGGTGAGACAGTGATGGAATGCTACATTTCTCCAAACTCATCTACATCTCGACTGGTCTGAGGGTGAGTGCATTTTCAGCAAATTGTAATTTTTGGGTGAACTATTCCTTTAAAATGCTTTCTATGTAGACAGATCACTAGGTGATTTTATTGTCTGTTGAGCAAACCTCTCATCAACAGACCACACAATTTGAAGAATCACTCATATCCGTAACAAACAGTACACTAGAGTTTAACAGAGTTTTGAAAAAAACATTAATAAATCAGTGAGTACGAGCTATAATAATAATAATAATACATTAAAGCCACACATTAAATAGTAATGGTCTATTTATGCACCTGAACCTCAGAAACCACAATACCTGGAGTCTTTCCCTTGAATACATACACACACAGAGCAGCTGCTTCCAACATCTCATTCTCTCCTTTCCACAGGACGATGTCATTTTCATGATGTTCACTCAACGGTTCTTCTATGGCATCGTGAAGCACCTTTATTTTTAAGAGTGTAGATGGAATTGAGACTAAATGGAGAGCAAAAAAGAGCCCATTAATCTCACGTGTCTCCTGTAGTTTCAGAAAATATCTAAATGTCTCATACTTTCCAAGAAATCAAAGTTTGCAATAAAAGACAGAGTTTATCTATATATGAGCGGCATGATAACAGTTGACTCATTTTTAGGATAATTTTTAGGAGACACATTTGAGACAAGGTTGATACTGCAAATAATCAAGAACTTGACTGAATCTCTTCAACAGAACCGTTGAGAAATACAATTTTCCTCTAGGTTCCAATACATATGAAAAGAAATGGAATCTCTTCAATTGTTTCTCAGAGACAGCAATGCGATTAAAAGGAGAGCCAAAGGAGCCTCCTGAGAAATATAACCTATTAATTTCACATGCATTTCAAAGTCTGCAATCTGAATATGAACTTCATGAAAACAGTGACATTTTTAGGAGAAACGAATGAGACAAAGTTGCTATCAAAAAGAAGCAGCTCAACCTCCTGAGCTATAAAAGAGAAACATCTGAGCAATAGAATTTCTTCTATGGGTTAAGTGAATGCAAAGAAAAAAAAAAAAAAAGCACTGCATCCATAAGAAGAAAAACCAAGTGAAAGTACAAATCAGATGAAGTGGATAAAGATACCTGTGGTGATGAATGGAGCTTCCAGCGCCCCCCTGCAGCCGAGCAAATCAAACAACAGCGACGAGGTGAGGATGTCCAGCGTTCCAGACCTCCAGCTTCCGTCTGTTTGCGTCTCTCCACGTGCTGGAAGATCTGAGAGCGTCAGTGATCTATGCCACACGCCCGTCTGCCGAGCCTCTGGGGTGAAGTGTGTGAGAAGGAGAGAGAGAGGATGAAAGCACTACACCTCTTTAATATGAGAGACTTCAGGCAGAGCGCTGTGAATTACAAGGACTGCCCTTAAATAGCCTTTCCACAAACTCATACACATTCTCTCTCTCTCTCTCTCTCTTTCCCCTCCTGTTCATCCCTCCTACTGCTTTGAGGTGTTGAGATGCCTACACACTCTATTACCCATACTCTCTTCTCCCTGGAGTGAGAACATACGCCTATACGTACAAGTTCAAGAGAGTTCCTACAGAGACATAAAAGCAAACAGAATATTTAATAATCCTACAATTTTAATCCAAGTGTGCTAGGAAGATATGCACAGAAACATAAAGAGGATGAACTAAAAAAAGACAGAAAGTGTATGAAAGTGTACCTTTTGAAATAAAAGTGTTCTTTTTTTTTACATAAATTTATATTTTTATTCAGTATGGATGCATTAAATTGGTCAATACTGACAGTAAAGATATAATTTCACAAAAGGTTTCTATTTTAAATTAATGCTGTTCTATTGAACTTTCTATTTATCCCTCAAAGAAAATGTATCACAGTTTCCACAAAACATGAAGCAGCACAACTCTTTTCAAGACTGATAATAAGACATTTAGAGATTAAATAATAAATGTAGTTTTTAGAGCAGCAAATCAAAATATTAGAATGATTTCTGAAGGATCATGTGGCACTGAAAACTGGAAAAATGATGCTGAAAATTCAGTTTATTTAAAAATATATTCAAATAGAAAACAATTATTTTTAATGGTTAAAAATATTTCACAATATTACTGTTTTTTTTTATTTTTTGTTATATAAATGCAGCCTAGGTGCATTTGTCAACATTTCTTTCTCATTGAACATCCTGTTCACTCAGAAATATACATTACAGAAGTAAAAATGTTTGCAAATAAAAATACAAAAATCTGTAAAAAATATTATTTAAAAAATAAATTGATATTTTATTCAGTACAGATGTGATAAATTGTTCAGAAGTGACAGTAAAAACATATAGAATGTCACAAAAGATTTATATTTCAAATAAATGCTGTCCTTTTAAGCTTAATTCATCAAAGAATCCTGAAAAAATTTAATGTATCACAGTTTCCACAAAAAAATATGCAGCAGTACAACTTTTTTTTCAACATAATGTTAAGAAATGTTTCTTGAGCAGCAAATCAGCATATTATTATGATTTCTGAAGGATCATGTGACACTGAAGACTGGAGGAATGATGCTGAAAATTCAGCTTTGATCACAGGAATAAATTAAGTTTTAAAATAAATTCACACAGAAATCAGTTATTTTGTATTGAAATAATATTTCACAATATTCCTGATTTTTATTTTTTTTTGGCAGTTTCTTAGATCAAATAAATACAGCATCGGTGAGCAGAAGAGTCTTTTAAAAACATTTTCAAAGATCTTACCAACCCCAAATGTTTGTGTCTACGACCATTATGATCTACTGAGTTCCTATGGATAAAATCAACTGACCCTAGATTTAAAAAAAAAAAAAACCCTACTAGCCAGATATGTTTCATTTGATGCCCATGCGTGACAAAAAATGTCTTTCCCATACCATAGCAGATACTGAAACAGTCAAGAAGCATGAAGATGCAAACCAGATCTTGGGACCAGAAGCAAGAGACATTTTCTGAGCTCAGTTACATCAAGATGCACACAACACATGCAGAAACGAGCATTTAAAAAAAGCTTTAGAAAGTTCTAGCAGGTTGGAAAATGACTGACAAAGACATTTTATGGATAATTTACTCACATCTTCAGTTGTCTATTATTTATCTGAACAGATGCCACTGCAGATGACATTATAACTGACATATAACATCAACAAGCACTACTTTCTGATCAATCAGCCACCTGTTTGCGAATTATCACGTCAACTGCTCTCCATTTCACCATTAGAGAGTTTTTCCAGGTTGCTTAAATTACAAACAGTTTGAAATCCAGCCAAAGGGCAATAAACTACTGTGCTATTTCTTCAGAAAGTGTGCCGAACTCGCACATGTAGCTTGAAATCTTTCCTCATTCAGAGATGCACAGAGGGTCAACTTCGTGACGAGTTCTGTAGCAGATTTTTCTTATCTATATGGTTCAGCTTTTATGTTAACTGCATTCAAGACTCAATCTAAATGCAAGCTGATATTTTAATGTGTTAATCCCAGTCAAACTCATATGGCACCGCAGTGAAGAGTTTTGCCTTAAATCTTTAACATCACTGTTTGTGCCTTTCCACAAATAGGGCTTGAAACTCAACATTAAATTTATAACACATCATCTATAGAAAAAAAATATATATATTATTTTTATTATCTAATCTGATGATGATAAGTTCAAAAACATCAATAAAACCTTTCCATCATGTACATTTTTTTCACAAAATAAGAATGAAATTTAATAAGATTATATGTATCAGCTTTAATGCACTTATCAGAACAAAAAAGCAGTCAAATGTCAAAAAATTTGGTTTTAATGACAAAAAGTATTCAAAATGTATAATTTAACTTGCAAAGGAGTGCAAACATATGTGAAAATAGCCCATTTAATAATTTTTTTTTATTTTATATATATATATATATATATATATATATATATATATATATACACAATTTTACAAAATA